ATCAGGCGTAAAGAGTCACAGTTTGTCACCGTTCAAGCGTCCGTCGACGCGAAGCTGCAGGCGATAAAGTGCCACGGCGGGCTGTCTCGAAACCCTTATGGGGTCGGCAGGGATCGTGCCAAAGGCCGGTGAATTGTCGTTAGCGTTCGTCACGTCAACCGTGATCACGATCTCGTCCGTGTCGCCGTCCGTGTCGTACGCCGGTTCCTCGGGACACGTGGCGAGGTCGGTGTCTCGATAGGTCGGTCCGGCCAGCAGTCTTAAGTACGCCAATCTCTTCGTTGGCCGCGTTCAAAGTCTCTTCAACCGAGAAGAACGGTGCGTCTCCTGGTTCACGCAGCGCGTACCTTAAAGGTTGGTGTCGCCGTCTAGTCTCCGCGAGGGGTAGGGTTTGTAAACAGGCGTGCCAACCACTGCGCCCTCAGAGACGCTCGCATGCGTCTGCGCCCTCGACGGCTCGTCAAACACTGGCGCAACGTTCGTGTCAATAATCTCGATACGAATCGGCAGCACGTCCTTAAGCACGCGCCTTAGCTCCGGCTGGCCGGCGTTGTCATCGGTCCTCATCATTGGTCAAGGAATATCCTCAGGTGTCGTACCGTCCGAGTTCCAGGGAGATCGAGGATAGTGAATCATCCGCGTCTGTGTCAAGCGCTACCGCAACCTTCACCGCGCCATCGGCGTCAACGGTGAACAATGCTACCGCGCCTGCATAGGCGTCAGTGAACTCGTCATCGTCATCGGTGGTGTCGGCATCATACCAAAGATCATACGCCGTTCCGCGGAAAGCGGCCTTCGTGTCCTCGTCCGTAGCCGCGAATAATTGAATTATTTTTTTTTTTAATAGCGGTGACAAAGTCGCAGATTGCCACCCGCATCCTTGCCGATCTTACGAAGACCCACAGCGGGCCGACTCAAGCCAAGTAGAGAAACGATTTGGTGGTCATCAGTCTAAAGGTATTACTGTATGTGTCTTCGTCAAACTTCGGCCCCTCGTTCACATCCTGAACAGTTATGACCACGATGCCCGATTCACCACCTTGCTTAATGGACAACGTATACGTAATTATCCCGCTCTCGAAGTCGAGAACCTTGTCCTCCTTAAGGTAAACGGACCCCGAATCCTCGATAATTCCAAACAGGATGTCATCTTCTTCGAGGGTAATGTTTCCAAGGTTGTCAATCTGCTGACCGATTTTAAATGTCTCGCCAGCTGCACCTTCAATTGGGGGCGCGAATCCGATATGTGACTCTTCCAGCGTCGGCTGTGCCCCACACTTAATCGGGCTGGGAGCTTCGGTTGGGGACACCTATAGGCCTCGGGTAGTCCGGATGGTCTTCCACCGTGATGGTGAAGTCTCGCTCCGAGTAGCCCTCGTCGTCAAGAGCCTTTGACTTCAACTCATATAGTGTCCTCCTGGTGACACCCTCATCCAAATCGAACAGTTCGTCATCGTCGTCATCACTGTCCACTTCATCGTCACCCTGGAAGTCCAGAGCTGTCCTTATGGTGAGTTCGCCGTCGCTATTGATCGCGAAGAAAGTGCCTGCGCCTTCCCCGCTTATCGAGTACCTAATGCCCGTGGTATGGTCGGGGTCACTTGCGTCGAAATCGTAAATTACGTCGCCAGGGCTCCCGCTTTCCGAAACAGTCGCCGCATCTTCCGTGCCAGCGGCAAAAACCGGATCCCGATTGCCCTCCGCAAGTTCGATCATGAAGTCAACTTCAACAAAGTTCACAGGCTCGTTGAGAGCATATGCACGGAAGGTGAATGTCGAACCATTCTGAATGGTATCAAAATTCGCGAGCTTAATCGTGAAAGTGTCCGTTATTCTCGTCGGTGTCCCTTCACGCCCACCGGGTTGACCGACAGACCAGTGCTGGACCATTCGTCAGCCTACCCCTGCTGAGTCATGTGTGGTACCTATGTGCTCTCCGTAGAGACCGGCGGATCATCCGAGGTTCATCATCATTAGTTACAAGCTCAACAATGGCCACACTTTCCGCGTCGCTCGAAAGCCGGAGTGTGTAATGCGTATCATCGTCACTCGGCGGAATAAGCCTGGCATCATCAAGCTCATCGCTATTAACACCTAATACCCTCAGTTGCTCAATCTTTGTTCCCTGCACATCGACAACAAAAGCGTCGCCAACAGTCTTATCAGCCTGTGGCGTAATAAGGCGACCGTCGCTGTCCGACACCTCCACGTATCGTTGCTTTCGCCGATGCGGTCGTCGATTGCATCACCGATTGGAGGCCCTCTTGTCGAAAGACGCTCCTCAAATTGCCGGGGTGTCCCATGGCAACGGTGAGGTCGCTATCCGAATCCGCGCACCGATAGCTCGTCTTGTAGAGCGTCTGAACCTCACCGCGCTGAACAGTATCCAGCCCCCTGAATGCGGCTTTGAACTTATTGTAATCTACTTCATTATCAGGATCGGTGTCGTCATCAAGGCCTGCGGCCTTCGCAACGGCAACCATTTCCGCCGCACTCAACAGGTCCCAATTGAACGCCTGCGTTACGGTTAGCTGCGCGTCACTGAGTTCTGCGTAGTCGTTGATGCTGTCATCGTCTGCACAGAAATTATCAATATCACAAGTATCGGGTGTGTCTACCCCCTCGTCAGTCTCGTCAGTATCCAGATTAAGGACCGCGATCCTATTGGCGTCCCTCAGACCATCCCACCAAGCCGCTACCGCGCTAGGCACAGTGACTGTAACGGGTTCAGTGGCGTCGGCCTCGCCGGCGTCGCCGTCGTGGTCAACGCCTGTAATCAGGTTGCGTTAGTAAGAGCGGCGCCGGCTCCAACGGTGTTCCCGTTATATGTATCGACACCGTCTGGCAAAGCAATCGTCGCCCTGCTCACCCTGCTCGTCATCACTGTAACCGCAAGTTGCTCAGGCACCTTAACGGTGATGGCGGCTCCGTCGAATTGGGCCGTGCCATCAACCTTGGTGGTGTCCGTGACCTCTTCGGTCAGATTCACTGTATACGCTGCGCCGGTCAGTCGTATTTCCGTGTCATCTAGGCTCTTTATACTCGGCCCTGCGTTTGACTGCGCCAGCACGGAGGCCCCGAAAAGCCCCACCAGCAGCAGCGCGGTCACCAGCACCAAGGGCAGCGACCAAATCTTTCCTCTACTTTCACTAGTTCTCTCCTGGTTAATCCTAGCTTCCGTTCCAACAATTCCGATATGTAGTTTCCAATGTTTCTTTCCGTTTGCCCTCTGGCATCCGCTTCACCTTCGGCCTAAAAGCTCGTCGGACTGCCGGAGTGCCTTGTACAGGGTAATTTACCTTTACAACTTCCACTAGTTCCCCCTCCTCCGTTTCCTCCCCCCTCCGGGGAAGCCTTCTTTTATCGTCATTCCTGCGTAGGCAGGAATCCAGTTCCTTACCTAACGGCAAATGCCACGCCAAAGCGCAGCCTGCCCATTTGCATACCTGAAAAAGATACGCCGCTCCTAAATTGTTGTCAATGAAAAACCGGCGCCCTTTTCAAGCCTTTTGCTGAACCATTGCCTAAACAAAGCCCAGTTTCCGGCCTAATCCCGTCCCCAACACCTCCTCATCAAGATTCCATATCCGTTATGTTTACCGTTTTGCTATGTTCTTACATGCCCACGTTGGCGATCCAACGTCTTGCCATAAATCATTCTTGCGCCCTTTGCGCACGAATCAATGCTACCCAACTTGTATTACGAGAGTATTACCGAAAAAGAGCAAAAGACGAGCAAAGTTTAACGAAAATCACCAGAGCCCATACCTTTCGCACCTTTGAAACAAAAGCGGTCTCCCGAAAAGTCCACGCAATGGAAGTACCAAACCAAATCAGCGAAAGCCGGCGCCAGCGAATCAACGCCGCCAGTCATGTGAAATCCCCACCTCGACCGATCGACAAACGCCGTTTTCTCTGCAATCAACAGAACGAAGTATTAGAACGGCAATAGACTCTGGTGTATCATGTACGTACACCCCACATACACCCACCCAAATGCGAGCGATAAACGCATACATTTCAGCCGCGCTCAAAACTCCAGAAAATGCACAAAATGCGCCAAAACCTGCCAAAAATGCGCCATTAATGCAAAATAATGCAAAAATCTGCACGAAATTGCATTAAATTGCACTATCTATTTCACCCATGATTTCACTACGCAGCCCTAACACATCCGCTAAACCCATACGCACAGGAGAGATGAACCAATGGAAATAAGCTGGCTTGGCAACTCCGCCATTCGCATTCAGTCCGGACTGACCGCGGTCGTATCCGATCCCTTCTACGCCGACGGCACCACCACCATGCCCGACACCACCGCGCAGATCGTGACCATAAGCCTCGACGACCCCCTCCACTCCAACGCCAACGGCGTCAAGGGCGCCCCCCGCGTCCTCCACGGCCCCGGCGAATACGAGATCGCCAACTTCTACATCCTCGGAATGGGCACCCCCTACACGCCCCCCTCCCCCGACGACGCGCCGCATGACGAAGCCGCGCAGCGCCAGATCTACACCGTCTTTACCATGCGCGCCGAGGGCATGCGCGTCTGCCATGCCGGCGCCCTCGTCCCCACCCTGACCCCCCGCCAGCTCGACGAGCTGAACAACATCGAGGTGCTGGTCGTGGACGCGAGCGGAGACTCGGCAAGGCGCGTGGCGCGGCTGGTGAGCCAGTTAGGCCCGCGTATCGTGGTGCCCGTGGGCTGGCAAGCCGCAGAGGACGATAGGGACGACATATCGGCGCTGCAGCCGCTGCTCGCCGAGCTCGGCATCACCGATGCCCCCAAGCAGTCCACCCTCCGCGTCACCCCAACGAGCCTGCCCAGAGAGCTGAGTGTAGTCCCCCTCCGCCGCACCACCTAGGCGCGCACGGCAAATCAAGCACATATCCCTCTCCCCCTGGGGGGTTTATCCCCTCTCCCTCTGGGAGAGGGCTAGGGTGAGGGCTAAGGCTAGGGCAAGACAGTCACCGATGACCCCATGGCGATGGCCACATGGTCATGGAATGGTCATGAAATGACGCCCGAACGCTGACGGCCCGGCGCCGGCTGCCTGACGGCTGCTACCGCCTGCGGGGGATACTTCCTGCGCGAGGCGCGGCAGGTTGGTGAGGAACTCTCGGTTGCTCTTCGTGCGCCTCATGATCTTGTCGATAACCTCGATGGCGCTGTCCTCGCCCTGCGACTTGTGCAGCCCCACGAAGCGGCGCAGCAGCCAGACATGCTGAAGCGTTGCCTCGTCCAGCAGCAGCTCCTCGCGCCGTGTGCCGCTGCGCTCGATGTCGATCGCCGGGAAGAATCGGCGCTCGGCAAGCCGGCGGTCGAGATGCACCTCCATGTTGCCCGTCCCCTTGAACTCCTCGTACACGAGGTCGTCCAGTCGGCTGCCCGTGTCCACCAGGCACGCCGCGATGATGGTGAGCGAGCCGCCCTCCTCCGTGTTCCGCGCCGCCCCGAAGAACTTCTTCGGCGGGTAGAGCGCGACCGGGTCCATGCCGCCTGAGAGCGTGCGCCCGCTGCTGGGCACTGCGAGGTTGTACGCCCGTGTGAGCCGCGTGATGCTGTCGAGCAGGATCACGACGTCCTTGCCGCTCTCCACAAGGCGCTTGGCGCGCTCCAGCACCATCTCCGCGACGCGGCAGTGGTCCTCCACCGGCTCGTCGAATGTGGAGCTATACACCTCGCCCTCCACCGAGCGCGTAACATCCGTGACCTCTTCGGGGCGCTCACCGATGAGCGCGACCATGATCTGGATGTCCGGCGCGTTCGCCGCGATGCCGTCGGCAATCTGCTTGAGCAGCGTGGTCTTGCCCGCCTTGGGCGGCGACACGATCAGGCCGCGCTGCCCCCTGCCGATGGGCGCGAGCATGTCGATCAGCCGCGTGGAAACGAGGTTATTGCGCGTCTCCAGCTTGATCTGCTGCTCGGGATGGATGGCGGTCAGGCTCTCGAAGTGGCGTCGCCTGCGGGTGCGGTCGGGCTCGATGTTGTTGACCTCTTCGACTCGCACCAGCCCGAAGTAGCGCTCCCCGTCCTTGGGGGGCCGCACCTGGCCCATAACCTCGTCGCCGGTGCGCAGGCTGAAGCGCCGAATCTGCGACTGCGACACATAGACGTCGGAGTTGCTGGCACTGCCGCTGCTCTGCCGCAGGAAACCGTAGCCGTCGTTCAGGATGCTCAGTATGCCGCCCGCCTTGAGGTTGCCGTTCTTCTCCGACAAGTTAGAGAGCACCTTAGACATCATGTCGCGGCGCTGCGGCATATTGCCGTTCTCGATGACGCCAAGTTCTTTTCCGAGCTTGAACAGCTCTTCGTTGTCCAGACTTTGAAGTTCAGCTAGGTTCATGACACACTCCGCACTCGCAGGCGACTGCTATAGGCTGATAAGAGACTGAAATTCGATGGGAAGAAAGCATTTCACAGTGAAACGGCGTAATTAGAGCAAACCGCCGTGAATATCTGAGGGAGAGGTATCGGTTACTGGAAATCGCTCCAAAGGTAATACACAGTCCCGCCAGCCAATTCAACATAGATGAAAGTTCGCTGCCTGTGATGCTCTGCAAAGTTAGGGCGCTCATGGGCAGGGGACAATCGGGAAGATATGTGCCAAGCGCCAAGAGGCTCTGGGGAGTCTCAGTAGAGTATAGCACAAGGGAGAAAGTCCCGTCTATCGCATTATATCGGTTGAAACTGCTTATCGCAACGCTCCGTTTTGCTGGTTGGAATCGAGACCTGCGCTGCCCCGTGGCAGTTCGCTCATCCCGTCCTCTTCGCATCGCTGCCCTGCTTCGTCCCGCCTAGCGGCAGAGAGTGTTGCCCACCCTCTCGCAGGGTGTCCTTCGCCGCGGTGACAAACTCCTTGAAGAGCGGGTGCGGCCTGTTCGGACGCGACCTGAACTCCGGGTGGAACTGCACTCCCAGCATGAATGGATGCTTGTCGGCGGCAAGCTCCATGATCTCCACGAGCTTCCTGTTCGGCGAAAGACCCGTGGGCCACAAGCCTACGGACTCGAACGCTTCCCGATAGTCGTTGTTGAACTCGAAGCGGTGCCGATGGCGCTCCCCTATCGAAGGCACGCCATATGCCGCGCGCGCCTTGCTGTCGGCTTCCAGCTCGCACGGGTACTCGCCGAGCCGCATCGTCCCGCCCATCTGGGTTACGACGCGCTGCTCAGGCATGATGTCGATTACCGGGTCTGCTGTGACCGGGTTGAACTCGGTAGAATTCGCGCCTGCCTTGCCAAGCCCGTTGCGCGCCATCTCAATGACCATGACCTGCAATCCCAGGCACAGGCCGAGGTAAGGCACCATCCGTGTTCGGGCGTACTCCGCGGTGAGTATCATGCCTTCGACGCCGCGCTGTCCGAATCCGCCGGGCACTACGATGCCGCGCACGTCGTCCAGCAGACGCTCAGGTCCCTGCTGCTCGATGTCCTCGGAGCGCACCCAGCGCACATCAATGTCAACATCGTGCGACACGCCTGCATGCAAGAGCGCTTCCTTAACGGAGATGTACGAATCCTGCAGGTCAACATACTTGCCCACCACCGCAATCGGCAGAGTATGCTTTGGCGTCTTGATGCCCTCGACGAGCGCCGCCCAGGATGTCAGGTCGCGGCTTGCGCTCTCAATCCTTAAAGTCTCAATGACAAGCTCGCCCATCCCCTCATCCTCGAGTATCAGCGGCACTTCGTACACCGTATCCACTGTCGGCAGGGTGATAACGCCTGAAAGGGGCACGTCGCAGTGTATGCTGATTTTCCGCTTTATGCCCTCATCAACCTCGTAGTCGCTGCGGCAAACGATTACATCCGGCTGTATGCCTATGCTTCGAAGTTCCCTAACGCTATGCTGAGTCGGCTTCGTCTTCAGTTCGCCGGTAGCCATGATGAATGGCAGGAAAGTGAGATGGATGTAGCACACATTGTCACGCCCAACCTCATTACGCATCTGCCGTATGGCTTCAAGGAAAGGTAGGCCTTCAATGTCGCCCACCGTGCCACCGACCTCCACAATGATGACTTCAGCCTCGCTGCTCGCCGCCAGGCTGAGCATATGCTGCTTGATTGCGTCAGTCACATGTGGGATGGCTTGGATGGTGCCGCCGAGGAACTCGCCCTGCCGCTCACGCGAGATGATGTCCTGGTATATCTGCCCCGCCGTGAGATTTGAAGCGCGTGTCAACTCAACATCTATGAAGCGTTCGTAATGCCCAAGGTCGAGGTCCGTTTCGCTGCCGTCGCATGTAACGAAGACTTCGCCGTGCTGATACGGAGACATAGTACCGGGATCAACATTCAGATACGGGTCGAGCTTCAGGACCGACACGGAGATGCCCCTGCTTTTCAGCACACGCCCCAAAGACGCAACGGTGATGCCCTTGCCAATCGAGCTGACCACTCCGCCGGTTACGAATACGAACTTAGTTGTCATACAAACACACCCGGTAAAGCGATGATCGATTACCCAACGAAGATATGCGCCACCAATCAGGGCATGGGAGAGAAGTTATGAAATCCCAAACAGAAAGCGCATATGCGCTGAAGGGAGAGATTCGAGGGGTCAGTCGTACATTGGATGGCGGTAGAGGGTTAGAAAGTGCGCCGCGCCTTCCCATTACGGGGAGACTCCGTAGCCCGAGCCAGCGACAGTGATTGCCGCTCTAACATATGCCATCGGTGGCGAAAGCCTTTACCTTGAAACTAACTGAATACGCGTAGCTGTTCGCCAAAGTATATTGACGGAGCGGTGCGCAAGTCAACATGAAACAGACGCAAGTTTTGAGGTTCTCCACTAAGAATCCGGCAGTGACTCAAAAAGTGCAGTATTCGCTTTTCTGTAACACAGAATTAACAAGTATTCAACATTCTGATAATAACAATCGTCTAATATTTGTGATGTGGTTCACAAATTGATGTTACAGTCAATCAGACACAGAAAAAAACAGATCAGGAGGCGAGGCAATGAATGTTGCAGAATTTATGACCAACGAGGTATCTATAGTGGACCTCGGGATGAGCGTAGCTGATGCGGCGGCGATGATGCAGGCGCAGAATACAGGCTGCATCGTAGTCGTAGACGTCGTAGAGGACGGCGCGCTCGCAGGAATAATCACAGAGCGCGATATGGTTCTTGGCTGCCTTATAGATGGTCACACGTCCTGGAAGTGCCAGGTCTATCGCCACATGACCATCCTGAACGAAGCAGCAACGCCCCTCACCGATATCGGTGATGCCCTGCTTATCATGATGGAGAGCGAGGTCAGTTACCTACCAGTCGTCAACGAGAGCGGCAGCGTCGTCGGCCTCCTATACGCCGAAGATCTATCCCGCGCTATCGAACAGGATAGCAACCCAGTAGCCATGCTGGATGAGACCTCATTACGGTGTAGTTCAGCGCGACTTTCTTTCCCAGCCAAACACCCTCTTTAAGGGCTGCGCGACTCTCTTTCATTGATCGCGCAGCCCAATTGCTTTCAGTATCGGGGCAAACGCTGTGCCTACTGCGCCGTAACGCCTCCGTCGATCACAAGCTCGCTGCCCGTCATGTAAGAAGACTCCTCGGAGGCGAGGAACAGCACACCACTTGCGATCTCGTCCGCGTCCGCGTAGCGACCGAGTGGCGTGTTCTGTTCAGTGCGCTGCAGGCCCTCTGGGGTACTCCAGCTCCGCTCGGTCATTGGTGTCTTCACGGGTCCGGGATGCACCGAGTTGCAGCGAATACCCTCTTTCGCGTACTGAATCGCCGTGGACTTCGTCAGGATGCGCACAGCGCCCTTCGATGCGTTGTAGCCCGGGTGTATCGTCGCCTGCCCAATCATTCCAGATATGGAGGAAATGTTGACGATGGAGCCGCCGCCAGCCTTCCGCATTTCGGGGATAACAGCCTTTGTGCCCAGGAACACGCCCTTAGCGTTCACATCCATCACGGTGTCCCAGTCTTCGACGCTCGCGTCGTCGCCGAATGTCCAGAATGCGACACCCGCATTGTTCACAAGGATGTCCACTTTTCCGTAGCGCTCTACCGCCGCATCGACAGCGCGCTGCCATGAGGCTTCATCGGTGACATCGAGATTCACGTAGGTGGCGTCTCCGCCAGTCTCGTTGATCTCTGCTTCCACCATCTTGCCGTCGTCGTCGAGAATGTCGCCGAAGACGACCTTCGCGCCCTCTCGGGCGAACATCCTCGCTTCTGCAGCGCCCTGCCCTCGCGCGCCCCCGCTAATGATGGCGACTTTGCCTTCGAGTCTCATAAGCATGACCTCCTACACATTAAGGGCAAACACCGGTGTACAGAATTAACTGACTTAGTCAATCGCTTCAGGATGTCGTCCAATCGATTCCATTCAACACAATGCGCTGGAATTCAGGTGTCTCGAAGCTAAGGCCGTTGTGTCCCAGCAGCGTCGTGAACACCTTGCCCTCTCCATAGGCGCGCGTCCAGCCGAGGGGGAACGTGCCGCCGGCCATGAACGTCTCTTCGCCGCGCCACACCCATGTACCGTCCTCCGAGTCGCCAGTCATGAACACATCGTTTCCGTCACGATACTCGATGCCCATGTAAAGCTCATCATTAGTCGTGAAGTCAGAAATGCCTGCCGCGCCCGGGCTGTCGGCATCGGTGATGTTGACCTCGAATTGTCCGTATGGAGGGTGGTAGCTGTCGTTGAGCAGCCATCCGCCTCCGGTGATGTCGTAGTATTCCATCCAGTCCTCTGAAGCGCAGCCTGCGATGTGGATGCAGACGAAGCCTTTGCCGCCGCTGATGAACTGAGTCATGCCAGCCTGCTGCTCGCTGGTCATAGCGTTCTCGCCGGCGCGCATTGTGTTGAATACCAACGCGTCGTAGGCACTCATTGCATTCGCATCTGCAAGTTTTGAGGCGTCCCAGGACACATCAACATCATGTCCTGCTTCATTCAGGAAGCTCTCCAGGACCGGCGTGGATTCTTCATAGGGGTGTCTGCCACCCGAGATGACCAGTAGTTTCATCATTCACCTCCGCTTGATATTGGTTGATCTAGGTCGTATTTTGCCCGTGAGTATAAAGCCATTGCAGTCTCACTGCAAACTCGTTCTCAGGAATCCACATTGGCATACATCATGGGAATGATGGCGATGTGGTAAAGTCTGCTGAGCGAGCCGCATAATCTAGCGGACTACTGCCCGACAGGCTAAATATGAACACCCTATTAAGGCAAATAGACTTGCTCCGAGTTAGGTTGCAACGCAATCAACTGTGGACGACCGACTTCGTACTCACTCTGCTAGCAGGGCACTTCATGTTCGCCGGATACACGGCGACCCTCACCATCATACCGCCGTTCGCAATCGACCTGGGCGGCGATCCCTCGTATCACCTGCCGCTGATCGTGGGCGCGTTCGGCTTTGTAGGGTTGCTGATACGGCCGTTTGGCGGGCAGTGGGTATACACGCTGGGACCGAAGCGCGTGGCAGTGGCAGGCACAATAATAGTTGCGCTGGGCAGCCTGTCGTACATATTCGCGCTCAGCCCTTGGTGGCTGATGCCGATGCGGATGCTCCAAGGGTGTGGCTTGCGCTGGGGCCTGTGGCGACATCGACCATCGTCGCCAACCTCGCGCCGCCCACACGCCGCGCGGAGGCGATGGGGTACATGGGCAATGCCATCAACATCTCCTTCCTGTACGCTCCGTTCATGGCGTCGTTCTTGTATGAGAACGCCGGGTCGCACAACGCATTCCTGTTCTCGGCGCTGGCGGCGTCGATCGCGACGATTGCATGCCTGAAAATATCGTCGAGCCGCATCGCGTTCCAGCAGCCGACGCCGCCTGCCGGTGGGAGCGGCGCACCAAGAAAGCCGCCGCTTGTGGCGCGCTCGGCGATATTCCCGACGCTGGTGTTCCTGACATACACGTTCACTACCGCGCCCATTAACACATACCTGCCTCTGCTGGCGCATGAGAAGAATCTGGGCAATCCGGGGCTGTACTACACGGTGTTCTCCATTGTGTCCATGTTCGCTATGGCGGCAGCGGGTCCGATTGCGGACAGGATGGGTCGCGGCACGGTCATCGTGCCGGGGTTTATCTGTGTTGCGATGGCGATGTTCGTGCTGAACGGCTCGTTCTTCCAGGCGATGTTCCTGAGCGGGGGCTTCTTCGCGGGGCTTGGATTTGGACTGTTGCAGCCGGGCATACAGTCGTTCACGGTGGACAGGGCGTCGATGCGAGAACGCGGCGCGGCGATGGCGACCTTGCAGCAGGCGTGGGATGTGGGCGGCTCGTTCGGGGCGTTCGTGATTGGGCCTGTGCAGGGGGTGATAGGGACGCCGAATACCTTCGGGCTGACGGGCATCGGCGCGCTGCTTGGGGCGTTGGGCTTCGTCATCGGAACGCGAAGTCACCGACGAAGATTCCGGGGCAGGCTGCCGCGGGGGATTGAGTCACGTCGGGCTGAGCGACGGCTGGGCGATGAGGCGTTCGCGCACAGTGAAGGTGAGGGCGGATGCGACGACGGCTAGCACTAGCATCAATATGAAAGCCGCGTCGTAGCTGCCGCGCGCGTCGAAGACGAGCCCGCCAACGAGAGCGCCGATGCCTCCTGCGATGTGGTGCGTCATGTTGATGATGCCGCTCATCATGCCGAGGCGGGGGGCGCCGAACATGTTGCCTGCGAAGGTTACGGTGAGGGGCGCGGTTATCAGGAATGTGAAGCCGTAGAGCAGGGCGAATATCACTATTGCAGTTGTGCTCTGGCGAGAAGATTATCAGGCCGAAGCAGGCTATGCGGGCGAGGAAGCAGAGCGCGGTGGGGCGGGTGGAGCCAAAGCGGTCGGCGAGCAAGCCTGCCGACATAACGCCCAGCATGCCGAGCAGACCCATGAATGCGTAGAGGCTGCCGGAGAATGCTGCGCTGAGTCCCTTGTCCTGGGCGAAGGCGACGACGTGGGTGGCTATGAAGAAGTCCTGGAAGCCGCAGATGGCGTACACGACCAGCAGCAGCCAGAGCTGGTGCGAGGAGAAGATGGTCTTCACTGAGAGCGCGGTGGTGCTCGGCTGTCGGGGGAGATTCGGGATCGGTGGGCTGCGCCGGGTCGGGGTCGGATCTGACGAAGGCGATGACGAGGGGACTACGATGAGCAGGTTGACGACGCCGAGCGTAATGTAGGCGTTGCGCCAGCCGATGTGCACCAGAGCGGATGCGAGGGCGGTGATGATGATGAGCTGGCCGAGCGCGTTGCCGGACATGGCTGCGCTGGTGGCGGTGCCCCTGCCGCGCTCGAACCAGCGGCTGATCATGACGCCGATGGGTCCGACTGAGGAGCCGCCGTTGCCGATGGCGAAGATGATGCCGTAGAGCAGGATGACCTGCCACTGGGTTTGGGCGAGTCCCATGAGGCCGATGCCGACGGAGGCGATGACTACGGCGATTGAGACGACGGTGCGGACGCTGAAGCTGTCAACGAGCCTGCCGACGAAGGGCATGGAGACGGCGGAGACTATCATGAAGCAGGTGGCGGCGAGGGAGAGCGCGGAGCGGCTGAGTTCGAGGTCTTCGCTCATGGGCTTCAGGAGCAGGCCGAAGGCGAAGCGGGAGCCGCTGCTGAAGAACAGCACGGTGAACCCGGTTGCCAGGATGACCCAGCGGTATTCGATGCGGCGCAATGCTGACCTCTTCACAAGACGGGCGCGCAGGATGCGGCAAGGCTAACAGCGCGTTGCTGGGGCGTCAACGGGGGGCATTATTAGGTTGTGTGGACATTTCCCATTTGTCTCGTGTAATTCCGAGCGAAGCGAGTAATCTGAAGTCTGTGAATGGCGTAGTGCAACGATTTTAGATTCTTCACTCCGCTCCGCTGCGTTCAGAATGACAGGGGATGAAGGCGCTCCGTTCAGAATGACAGAATAACCCTACTTTTCAGGCCTTTACTGTCTGGTGTACCAAATGTCATCAGAGCCTAGTATTCAGTTGACGGAGCTGACATCGATGCACAGGATGGAAGGGATCTATCACCCCCATCCTAGCCTTCCCCCGTCAAGGGGGAAGGGACTTTTTCGTTGCCCTCACCCTTAGCCCTCTCCCAGAGGGAGAGGGAACTCTATGGGCTGCGGATGGTGGGGTTTTTGCGCTTGCGGGCGAGCGGGTTGGGGAGGATGGGTGTGTTGTGGGCTTCGGCGGCTTCGGCAAGCTGCACTAGCGGGTCCGACATGCCGCGCGGCGCGGGCATGCTTGAATAGTCTGCGATCTCTCCTTCGGTCAGGCCGTGTTCGCGCCGGTCTTCTTCGTCGAACTTTGCCTGCTCTTCGCTACTTAGGGGTTCGAAGTAGTAGTCCACGGTTGGGTCGGGGTCGTTGGGGCCGTAGTCGTAGATGTTCTTTTCTGGTTTTACGTCTATGCGGCGGTATTTTGCCTCTGCTCGGAGGGCTGCCCGCTCGTCTCCCTTGTCCATCGCTTCCTTGAACTCTTTGATGATTGATTTGTCGTGTTCATTGACGGTGGCTGCCTCGTTCGGGAGCGGGCTTTGTGCGGGACTCTTCACCCCCATCCCTTCGGCAAGCTCAGGGCAGGCTCTAGCCTTCCCCCGTCGAGGGGGAAGGGGGTTTTTGAGAATGCCCGCAGTGCCCTCACCGCTGCTCACTCCCTTAGGGAGAAGGAGCTTTGTGGCAGGAGTGGCGGCTTGGCGGTCTTCTAGATTACTGCTTTCGGAGGAATGGTGAGAAGATGGGACGGTCTCCTGGAAACGAAGAGGCTTTGAGTTGTCGTCTCGGTCTTCTTCTTCTCTCATCTCTTGGACGATGGCTTCGTAGTCGGTGTCGTCGTAGTTGTCGTAGTCGTCGATGGAGGTTGAGAGACCGGCTTGGGTCTTCTTCTGGCCTATGGATAGGCGCGGGGATTCCTTGTCGCGCCAGTAGTCCTGAAGGTGCTTGGGCTTGATGCTGTCGTAGTTGGTGTCCCAGCCTCGGCGCAGAAGTTCCTGTGCTGCGGACATGCGGTGATGGATGGTGAACTCTAGGTCAGGGTCGGGATCTGACATCACTTCGACCAGGAATCGGACGGTGTCTGTGCCGCGCTCGCTGTATTCGCGCATTCGCCTGGCGAGGTCTGTGTGCAGGGTGTCGTAGGCGTTTGACTCGTCGGTGGTGTCTGACTGCTTGCGCCTTGAGCCGAGGTCTCCGAAGCCGCGACGCAGCAGTTCTCTTGCTGCTGCCATGCGGTCTGCGGGCTTGATACGGAACTTCTTGGGAGTGAATGGCCTGTCCCTGCCGGTCATGATGTGAATGAGAAACTCTACGAGGGTGTGACCTTCGGCGGTCTCGTGGCGTATGAGGTGGGCTATCTGGTAATTGATGATGTCGAGGTGGGTTACGGGCGCTGACAAGGATGGAGGGGATGAAGGGGATTTTTCGTCGCCCTCAGCCCTGTCCTCTCCTTTGGGGAGAGCGGGAATGTTGTTGCAGTCGGTGTCGGGGAAGCCGTACTTGATGAGGTGTTTGGCGGCTTCCATTCGGTGGCAGACTTTGACGCCCGGGGTTTCGCCGCGCCTGGTGTCTGCGAGGAAGAGAGCGATGTCGTAGCCGTCCTTGGTGATGCCGGCGATGTTTTGTTGTAGGGCGGTTTGGTTGCACATTGTTGTCATCTGCCAGTTGTCAGAAATGTGATCTGACAGGCTTGTTACGAAAGTTTGTTCTTTTGCATTGACATCCATCTTACGCACGGATGTTTGGGTTGTCAAGGGGAAATAGCCACAAAAGGCACAAATGTCACAGAATGAGTTTTCTGACTTGCAGCCTTTGAGCACCAAAGTTGATTATCATCGCATCTCGTTGGCGAGCGGCGCGGAGATAACCTAGCGCCTGAGCGATGTGTTCGGGGGCGATAGCTTTGACAGCTTTCAGTTCAACGATGAGGCAGCGTTGTACGAATAGGTCAGCGAAGTAGTCTCCAAGAACAGTGCCGTCTTCGTCGCGTACTTGTAGAGGCTTTTGACACTCGACTGTCAAACCGAGCTTTCTGAGCCTGTGAGCGAGTCCATTTTCATAGACTTTTTCGAGATGCCCACTCCTGAGATATGCATGCAATTCGAAGGCGGTCTGCCGAACTGTATCGCATAAGATTCTGATCTGGCGTTCGTCTCTATCTTGTGTTTGCATGTAGTCAGGGGGGATAGCCACAGAAGGCACAAAGGTCACAAAAGGGAATGTTCATTGGTTGATTTTTGCACCCACAATACGGACGGCTGTTTGGGTTGTCAAGGGGGAGAAATGGCGTGTATTGGGATAGGGCTAACGAAGGGAATACGGCGGTAGTTTAGTAATTCGTAGTGCCGGTAAGACGGCACCCAACACGCATCTCGCAGCAACTCGAATCGCGTTGGCATCAATAGCTACTCGGAGCAGTCAGAGTAATAAGAAACTCATTCAGTGCTCTATACTCTGAATAGACGGTCTACTGACCAACTATCTTTAGAAATAGCAGGAAAAACAATTCTATATTCTTCCGTCGTCAACTAGATGCTCCGAAGGTAAAGTGATGACTCTCAAAGAAGACTGAACGCTGCAGACACAATTCTATTGCCAAAATTCCCTAGGCTTATATTCTTGGACACCAACGTAGTCCAGAATCTGCATTCTTTCTGGGAACTGATTTTCGAAAGGTCAATTTCGCCTAAATCGGAGGATAGGTGTTGACCTCTCGCAGACGGTTTCACGATTCGCCCGAGGCCGCGGACCATTACGCACGCAGTGATTCAGGGCGTGAGAGGCGTCGCATCGGAGGGCCGCGGGCGTCGCCCAAGGACGCTTGGGGAGCGGAACTAAAGGCTACCTCCCACCCTTACAAGAGAGCTAAGCTTGTGGCTTGGGGAGGTTCGTTAGCGGACCACTACTTGACAACCTATAGGGAGCAGCATTTAGAGAGTGGGGCAGAGCATAGTAGTTGGGGCACCAAGAAAAGACCATTCATGCCCCGTGACACAAATGTGAGTCGGGGATATTTGGCCAAATTATTGGAGGACATTCCACAGGAGTCAGACCGTCAATTGATTATCGACGCCTTAGAATTCGAATGTGACATTTTTCTCACTATGGATTATAGGACGGTCTGGCGGCGGCGCCAGACCGTCGATAAGCTCGACATCCAGATTATGAGGCCAATCGAACTGCTTGAATACGTCGACCTGGGCAGAGCGCTCTTGAGGTGTGAACAACGACATTTATAATGACTGGTAGGCGACATTCATTTTGACCGCTTCATGAAGTAGATTTGACCATCTCGTACAGGAGGTACTGGATGGTCACAGATCAGCAGGTACTACTACTGAGGCGGAGGATTATGGAAGGCAAGAGTCAACAGGCATCAGCGGCAGCGGCGGGCATGAGCGCAAGTAGCGCACACAGGTGGAGGAGCGGACCGTTGCCGTCGGAGAAGAAGAAGCGAAGTTGGAGAACGCACCAGGATGCGTTCGAGGGAGTGTGGGACGAGGATATAGTGCCACTGCTACGGAGGGACGCGAAGGAGAAGCTGCAGGCGACAGTGCTACTTGAGTGGCTGGACGAGCGTCATCCCGGCAGGTTCAACGCAACGCACCTGCGCACGTTGCAGAGGCGGATAAGGGACTGGCGAGCGCTGAGCGGTCCTGAGCGTGAGGTGTACTTCGAGCAGAAGCATCCGCCGGGACGTGAGGCTCAGATGGACTTCACGCACTGCGACAGTTTGAAGGTGACGATAGGCGGAGAGCAGTTCGATCATATGCTGTTCGAGTTCATATTGAGTCACTCGGGCTGGCGGTATGCGCGGGTGTGCTTCAGCGAGACTTTCGCGGCGTTGAGGAGCGGCATCCAGGGAGCGCTGTGGGAGCTTGGGGCAGCGCCCGAGGTGGTCAGGAGCGACAACCTGGGCGCAGCGACGCACAAGCTGAAGGACGGCAAGGGCCGGGACTTCAACGAGCGCTACAAGGAGATACTGGATCACTACGGACTGAAGGCGACCCGCACCAACTCGTACAGTGCGCACGAGAACGGAGTGGCCGAGCAGGGGCACCGGCGCATAAAGGACATCATCGCGCAGGAGTTGATCCTCAGGGGCAGTTCGGACTTCGAGTCTGTGGAGCAGTACGCGAAGTTCGTCAGGCAGATCGTGGACAGGCGCAACAGGCTGGTCAGGGAGAAGCTGGCGGGTGAGTACCCGCATCTGCGGGCGCTACCTCCGGCTCCTGTTCCCGAGTACGCAAGCTACACTGCCAGGGTGCGCAAGTGGAGCACGATCAGGGTGGACAGCAGGACATACTCCGTGCCGTCGCGCCTGATAGGCGTGAAGGTTGACGTGCGGCTGTACGCCGATCACGTGGAGGTGTACTACAAGGGGCACCTCGTGGAGAGCATGGAACGGGTACGGGGTAAGGGCGAGGCACTCATAGACTACCGCCACATCATAGGTTCGCTTGTGCGCAAGCCCGGAGCGTTCGCGCGCTACCACTTCAGGGAGCAGATGTACCCGACCCATACCTTCCGGCTGGCGTACGACGCGATGTGGGGCTGGAAGGGAGAGCGGGCGGACGTGGACTATGTGCGGATACTGCACCTTGCCGCGACGACTATGGAGTGCGAGGTCGAGAGGGCGCTGAAGCGGTTGCTACAGTCGCAGGTGAGGTTCGACTACGCGGTGGTGAAGGAGCTGGCCGCGCCGGTGTCTCCGGAGATACCGTCACTTGAGCTGTCCGGCGAAGTGGACCTGAGCGTGTACGACCGGCTGCTTGCGGGAGGTGCGCGATGACGACGGAGACTTACGCGCCGAGCGCGTTGGGAGAGCGGATCGGGGAGCTATGCAGGCAGTTCAGGCTACCCACGCTTGCTGCCGAGACGGTCGATCGCTTCAGCGATGCAGGACACGCAGATGCCCTGCCGACACTGGTTGAGGTGCTGGAGCAGGAGGCAGAGGACAGGAGGATCCGGAGAGTGGACAGGCTGAGGCGTGCATCCAAGCTCCCTGCCGGCAAGACCTGGGACACCTTCGAGCACGGGCGAGCTCCGGTGAAGCTCAGGCAGCAGCTCGTCAGGCTTGCAGAGGGTGACTTCGTGGACCGTGACGTCAACGTGCTCGCCTTCGGACTGCCCGGCACCGGCAAGACTCACGCGATGTGCGCCATAGGGCACAGGCTCGTGCAGGCTGGACGGTCCGTGCTGTTCATCCCCGCGTATCGCCTGGTGCAGGATATGCTGGCGGCGAAGCGAGACCTCGATCTGCCGCGGATGCTCAGGAAGCTCGACAACTTCGATCTGTTGGTGATAGACGACCTTGGTTACCTGCCGCAGGGTGCCGATGAGTCGGAGGTGCTGTTCACCCTGATAGCCGAGCGTTATGAGCGCCGCTCACTCGGCATCACCTCTAACCTGGTCTTCTCGGAGTGGGAGAAGATCTTCGCCAATCCTATGGCGACGGCTGCTGCGATAGACAGGATCGTGCATCACTCGGTCATCCTCGAGTTCGACATGCCGAGTTACCGCACCGGTGAGGCTCAGGAACGACAATTACAAACGACAGTTACACCGAAAACGACAATTACATCCGACACTGAACGGTCAAAGTAACTGGCGCAAATCGGTCAGAATAAATGTCGTTTGAACAGAGGTGAAACGCCAAAGGTCCTCCCCTTCGTTTATTACTGGCAATATGTGGATTCGGTTCTGCTTGAACTCTGATTGGAGGAAAAATGCTCCGAGTGGAGGCTAATAGTTCTTGCCCCACGGCTATGTGACCCATCCAAGGGTGTGTTCAGTCCAACAAATTATTGATGTGCTGGGGATTCGTCGGGGATTCGAGGGGTCGGCAGTTTCTCCACTTTTCGCGGCGGCGACGCACCACCCTGACATGCTGGAAGCTCAATAAACCAGCGCCGAAGAAGCCTATTGCAACACACGCCTTGAAATAGACGCGTAGCGCTTGCATGACGGGTTCCGAAATAGTGACGCCTTCAATGCCGGCTGCGGCAACCACAATGAGAAAGACTGTCAGCGCCGCGTATGCGAGTATCAGATTGTCAACAATTTTGTTCATGTTGTTGCTTTACCCCAGTAGCCTGAATAATAGCGTCGCCAAAAGGCCGTAGAGCGCAAGGCCAACTATAATTGCCATGTTGAACCAGAACCTGAAGTTTGTGCGCATTTCATTAATGCTGTCGCTGAGGGCGTCGACCCGAGTTTCAAGTCTTACGATTCTTTCCCGGTTGGTCAACTTTCGGCTCCAAGATTCTTTGTGCCTGATGAGAATGTTCCTGTGTGCAGTCATCATACTCAGCAAACGGAGTTTGTTCAAGATCTGTGGACTTTCATTAGCTTGGAAAGTATTTGCAGCCTGCATTCGTTGGATGACTGGACGGTTGTTAGCGGGGCGGCGTACTTGACAGACGGGCGGTGCAAGATACAATTCATCGGGGTAAATGGCGGTATAGCGGTTTGCCTTGTTATGTATCGCTTTCGATTGAACGGTGATGAGCAGACGGAGGATTAGATGAACGGGGCAGAACTGAAGGATAGGGTGCAGAACGGGGGCATCGTGTATGGCACGATGATCAGCATGGGGCGCAATCCGCGCTGGGGTTCGGCGTTCTCGAATTTCGGGATCGACTATGCGATTATCGACACGGAGCACTCGCCGCGGGGCAGGACGGATGTGGCGGATTTCATCGCTGCGTTTCTCGTTCAGCGGGGTCGTGCCTATCGTGCGGATACCGATACCGGACTCGCACTATGTGACGATGGCGCTGGATGCGGGAGCGCAGGGGATTCTCGCGCCGTACTGCGAGACTGTGGACGGAGGCGAAGGAGGTTGTGGGGGCTGCGAAGTGGCGTCCGCTGAAGGGCGAGCTGTTGCGGAAGGCGGTGGATTCGGGGGAGTTTCCGAGCCAGGCGACGAAGGAGTATCTGGAGGCGCGCAATCGCAATAATGTGTGCATTGTGGGCATCGAGAGCGTGCCGGCTATCGAGAATCTGGAGAACATCCTGAAGGTGGGGGGCATAGACGCGATATTCGTGGGGCCGAACGACCTTAGCATTACGCTGGGGATTCCGGACCAGTACGACCATCCGGACTATGAGGCTGCGCTGCGCGAGATTATCAGCAAGTGCCAGGCGGCGGGAGTGCCGACGCTGATTCACCACCAGACGGTGGAGCTGACCACCAAGTGGCTGCAGGAGGGCGCGAGGTTCGTGCTGTATAGCAGCGACGCTCGCAGCATGCACAACGCATACCGCGACGAGTTCGGGGCTATCAAGGCTGCGGGCGCGGAGCTTGGGGGCGGCATGGCTGAGGATGTGGGGGAGTCTGAGGAAGTGATTTAGGACATTGACATGGATTAGCAGGACGGGGGATTTCTTATCCTACTCACCCCCATCCTAACCTTCCCCCATCGAGGGGGAAGGGATTTTTGCAGACAGAACTGAAGAATAGCGACTGGAGAGAGATTTATGGCCTGGCAATTTATACTGGTTAACGGACCTTATGGCGGGACGTGTGAGGGGCCTGCATGGGATGGGAGTGGGCTGCTGTTCACGCATATTCCGGGGAACAGGATCATTCGATACGATCCGCAGGACAAGGGGTCGAGCATCTATCGCTCGGACACTAACAATGCAAATGGGCTGGTGTTCGACTCGGAGGGACGGCTGTATGCCTGCGAGGGCGGCGCTCGGCGCGTGGTGCGCTATGAGGCGGATGGCTCGACGACGGTGCTGGCTGATGCCTTCGAGGGGCAGCGGCTGAATGTGCCGAATGACCTTGCCATCGACCAGAACGGCAGCGTGTGGTTCACGGACCCGTTCTATGAGGGCGCAGGCGGCGATTGGAGCAATGACCGAGCGAATAAGGACCTCGACCACGACTCGGTGTACCGGCTGGATGAGCAGGACGACGGGAGCTGGTCTATCACGCGCGTGACTTTCGACACGACGCGACCGAACGGGCTGCTGTTCTCGCTGGATCACAGCGTGCTGTATGTGGCGCAGTCGGGGCGGGATGCGGACGAGAAGCGCGAGCTGCGGGGGTATCCGGTGAACGCGGACGGGAGCCTGGGCGCGTATAGCGTGCTGCACGACTTCGGGGCGCATCGCGGGATCGACGGGATGGTGCTGGATACCGAGGGCAATATCGTGGCGACGGCGGGCTTCGACGAGAGCGGGCCGGGGCCGATGGTGTATGTGTTCGCGCCGGACGGCGAGGTGCTGGAGACGCATAGGACGCCGACCGACAGGCCGACGAACTGCTCGTTCGGTGGCGCTGACCTGACGATGCTGTATGTGACGACGGGCGGCGGCGATGTGTATATGACGCATACGGACAGGCAGGGGCGGCTGCATTATCCGAGTGTGTAGGGGCCACGATTTAAGGCCGAACGCGGGGTAGTCCCTTAGCTCTATTGGTGAGCATAATTGATTTCACCCCCATCCTAACCTTCCCCCATCAAGGGGGAAGGGACAAGATTATCGGTCATTGTGCCCAGCCTTACAATACAGCATCAACCTCACAGATGAGACAGACAACGACAGAGGAGCGGATTACAGATGGCAGACGATACGATTCGGATTGGACTTGTGGGCGCGGGCGGGAATACGACGCTGCGCCATATACCGGGCTTTCAGGAGATCGAGGGCGTGGAGATTGTGAGCGTGGCGAATCGGAGCCGCGCGTCGGGGCAGCGGATTGCGGATGCGTACGGGCTGCCGGAGGTCTATGACAGCTGGGTTGACCTGATCGAGGCGGATGATACGGATGCTATCTGCATCGGGACGTGGCCGTATGTGCACCGTGACATGGTGCTGGCGACGCTGGAGAATGAGAAGCACGTGATGACCGAGGCGCGGATGTGCATGGATGCGGCGCAGGCACACGAGATGCTGGACGCGTCGCGGCTGGCTCCGCACCTGGTGGCGCAGATCGTGCCGTCGCCGATGACGCTGCGGGTGGACAAGACGGTGAAGCAGCTGATCGCGGACGGCTACGTGGGTGATGTGCTGTCCGTGAACCTGGTGGTGAACGACAAGACGATGCATCCGGCGGGGTTCGTAGCACCGGACGCGCCTCATCACTGGCGGCATGACCGCGACTTCAGCGGGTACAACATCATGCAGATGGGCATCTGGTATGAGGCGATGATGCGCTGGGTTGGTCCGGCGCAGACGGTGCAGGCGCTGACGAGGGTGCATGTTAAGAGCCGTAAGGATGGCAACGGGAACTCGCAGGTCATTACGATACCGGACCATATCGAGGTGCTGGCTGAGATGTACTCTGGACCGCTGCTGCACATACGGATGACCGCGGTGACGGGGCATTCGCCGCAGAACGGGGCGTGGCTGCACGGGACGGACGGAACGCTGTACGTGCAGTCGCCGGGGATGGCGCTGTACGGCGGGACGCGAGATGACGGCGAGCTGTCGGAGATCGAGATCCCTGCCCGAGAATCAGGGCGATTGGCGGGTGGAGGAGGAGTTCATCAACGCGATCCGGGGCGTGGAGGAGATAACGCATACGAACTTCGCGGATGGCGTGCGGTACATGGAGTTCACGGAGGCGATTACCATCAGCGCGCAGACGGGCGAGAAGGTGCACCTGCCGCTTTAGGTACGCACACGCAATCAGAAATTAGGTATTAGGACTTCCCCTGCTTTTCCACAAAGTACGGGGAAGTCCTAATATATTTTAAGTTAGAAATATGTTATCCTTGCTCAGCTTATCAGATTCAGGACTGGCTAAGGAAAACAAATGGCGGTTGAACCGCAGCCTCAGAACTCACCATCAAACTCGGGCGACGGTACTGCGTTCATATTGGCGGCCATTGACCGCGTAGCAGCGGACTCGCGCAGCAATTATGAGCAACTGGCAGCCGAGATGCGTAGAAGCCATGACCAATTGGCGGCCGACTCGCGCAGCAATTATGAGCAATTGACGGCCGATATGCGTAGCAGTCACGAGCAATTAGCCGCCGATATGCGTAGCAGTACGACAGATTAGCCGCCGAATTTCGCGCCAGCAACGAGCAAATGTCCGCCGACATACGCAGCAGTTACGACAGGCTGGCGGCCGATACACGGAGTAACTTCGAGAGTGTTCGCTCAGATATTCGGCAGCTTTACTACCTGAACATTCTGACGCTTCTGACGGCATTGGGTGCGCTCATTGCCGGACTATTCGCACTACTCGGCAAATAGCCACACCTCCCTGCGAGCCGCCGGCGACTCAATCTTCGACTTTATGATCGGCTAGGTTGTGTGGACATTTCTCATTTGTCCTCTGTCATTCCGAACGAAGCGAGGAATCTGAAGTCTGTGAAAGGCGTATGTGCAACGATTTCAGATTCTTCACTCCGCTCCGCTCCGTTCAGAATGACAGAATAGACCTACTTTTAAGGTCTAAAACGCTTTGTGTACCAGATGTCATCAGAGCCTAGGACGCGCCGGGGTTACCAGAGCCAATGACCCTGTATGCGCTTTGCTCTCGCGGATGGTCGCCTTCCCTCTCTTCGAGCCTGCCGAGCGGGATGGCGGGCATGGTGGTCGTATGCAAGCCCGCCCTGACGCCAAGCTCCAAGGTGAAGCGAGCTGCGGTGGCGTTGTCTTCCGCCTCCAGTATGGCAACGAAGTCTATGTTGCCAAGCACGGCGTAGAGGCCCAGTATCTCCGCGCCGGCGAACCCCATCTCATCTTCGATGCTACGAATGACGTGAGTGTCATTCAGTATCTTCTCGCGTCCTGCCTCTGTGGCGGAAATCAGCAGTATGTATGTGGACATGGCATCTTCTCCTTGCGTTCAGCGACGGGCTTGGATTAGAGGCGCCCGCCGTATTGCGCCGACATGATAGTATTGACTTGTCAGGCGTCGGAGATTTCGGCGTGCTCTCATAATAACAGTTGTAGAATTAGCAATAATATAAACCTGACTGGCATAATACTAGGTTGTGTGGACATTTCCCATTTGTCCCCTGTCATTCCGAGTGAAGCGAGAAATCTGAAGTCTGTGAATGGTGTATGTGCAACGATTTCAGATTCTTCACTCCGCTGCGCTGCGTTCAGAATGACAGAATAAATCTACTATTCAGGTCTAAGACGCTTTTTGTATCAAATGTCAACAGAACCTAACCTGACTGGAGATTTTCATGGACTATTCAGAGTTTTTTTCGAAGAACCTTCCCGCGACGGTGGAGATGCCGACAGGGTTGCGCGCGGACACACCGCACATATTCTCGGTTACGAATGCGGGCCGCAGGCGATAGACCCCGAGCTGTACGCGGAGGCGATGAGCAGTGTGCTTGCGCGGGAGGCTCGCAGCCTTGCGGGTTATCCGGGCATGAAGGGACATGAGGGGCTGCGCGGCGTAATCGCGGACGAGCTGAAGGACAAGCGCGGCGCTACGGTTGACATAGATGACATCTTCCTGAGCGACGGCGCGGGCGGCGCTATCCGCAAGCTGGTTGACGCATTCATAGATCCCGGTGATGTGGTGCTGGCGGAGGAGTTCACATACTCGGGCACGCTGAATATGCTGCTCAGCAAGCGCGCTGAAGTGATACATGTGGAGTCGGATGTGGAGGGGATGAATCCGGATGCGCTTGTAGCAGAGATCAAAAGGCTGGCGGCGGGTGGACGGAAGCCGAAGTTCATCTACGCTATATCGGTGTACCAGAATCCGTCGGGCTCAACACTGAGCCTTGAACGGCGCGAGCGCATGCTGGAAATTGCGGCGGAGTACGACATTCTCATTGTGGAGAACGAGTCATACGCCGACTTCCGCATTGACGGCGACCCGCTGCCTCCCGCGATGCTGGGCATGGACGACAATGGTGATGGTCATATATGTGTCGTCGTACACGAAGTTGATGGGTGCGGGCTGCGTGTGGGCTTTGCCGTCGCGCCACAGCAGGTGCAGGATGTGCTTGTAGGCGGTATGCCCAGCCAGTTGGCAACGATGCTGGTGTACGAATACCTGCGCACACGCAAGGCAGAACATGTGGAGACGGTGCGCCGTGAGCTTCTGTCGCGGCGTGATGCGCTGGTCAGTGCCGTTCGTGAGAACTTCCCATCGGAGTGCGAGATCATCACGCCCCACGGGTGGAATGATGGGCTGGGTAAAGATGCCGGAAGGCGCGGACACCTGGGCGGCGCTGGAAAGCGCGGTTGAGGCGGGCGTCAAGTACAACCCCGGCGGCATCTATCGCGCGCCACGAGACCGCAACGACCACCTGCGCCTGACATTCAGTCACAACACGGCGGAGGAAATCCGGGAGGGTGTCGCCACGCTTGCGGATGTATTCGAGCGCGGCGGGCTGTTTGGGTAGAATAATATAGATGCAATGAATGGAAAGTTGCAGTAGCCTTCAGTATTCCAAATGTGTAGAATAAATGCACTGCGGGATAGCTGGACGCAACGTGTGAATGCGCCGCTGCCTGAGCAAGAACCAACAGGGAGTGCGGCGTCAATTGCACCACGGAGAACACGACAATGACTTCACGAAGCACGCTCAAGCCGGCATACGCCGACTACTCCCATTTGGAGCCGTTGCCGGACCCGCCGCGTGAGCGTGATATGCAGCAATTTGAAGGGGTCCACGCGTTTAGCCGCGTCTGTGCACGCATTTCGTCTTCCGAGACGACGTGCTCATAGCGGCTGGGGCGTTCTGCGCGTGAGCGACAAATGATGCTGAACGCCTTGCTCCGGATGTCGTCGTAACTTTCGGTGTAAATCCTCGCGCCATAATAGCGCGGAACGGGTATGTGATAAGCGAAGTGGGCAAACCTCCTGACTTCGTACTGGAAGTGGCATCGCGCAGCACCGGGAGGCGGGATTACACGGTGAAGCGGGAGGGGTATGCCGGATATGGTGTACAGGAGTACTGGCGCTTCGACCATACGGGGGGCAGATTCCACGACGTTGCGCTAGCCGGAGATGTGCTGGTTGATGGAAGCTGTATCAGCCGCTTCCGATACGTGAAGAAGCGGATGGTCTGATATGGGGCCACAGCGCGGTTCTGGGACTAGACTTGTGCTGGGATGATGGTGATTTTCGCCTGCGCATACCGATGGCAGGCGAATTCCTCCCCACGCCGACCGAGTTGCAAGTTGAGCGTGATGCCGGGAAAGCGGAGCTCGACACGGCGCAGGCAGAGCGTGATGCCGCGCAGGCGGAGGCGGCAAGACTCAGGGAGCAGCTAAGAAGACTGCAACAAGATTGACGCAGGGTATAAGGTATAGCGGACGGAAACGTCATTCTACACGCTCAGGGCGAGCGCGTTCCGCATATATCCTACTTACAGTTGTTTGAGGGTCTTGCTTAATGTATTCCGCCGACCTGCACCTACATTCGCCGTTTGCGCGCGCGACAAGCAGCCAACTTACTTTCCAGAATATGGCGAAGTGGGCGCGCATCAAGGGCATTGACCTGCTTGCGTAGCGCTGACTTCACGCATCCTGAGTGGTTAGCTGAGACAAAGAGGACGCTGCGACCGACGGACGACGGGCTGTACGAGTATGAGGGCGCTCGGTTCATACTTGGCACAGAGGTGAATTGCAACGGCTACCAGGGCGGCAGGAACCGGCGCATTCACATGCTGATGTTCGCGCCGAGCATCGAAGTCGTGGAGCGCATCAACGCTGCGCTGGCCGACAGGGGGCTGCTCGGCTCGGACGGACGCCCTACCCTGCACATGACGCCGCGCGAGTTGCTTGAAACGCTGCTGCACATCGACGAGCGCATAATGCTGATTCCGGCGCATGCGTGGACGCCGCACTTCGGGATTTATGGTTCACGGACGGGCTTCGACTCGCTGGAGGAGTGCTTCGGGGACCTGACAAGCCACATCTTCGCCATCGAGACAGGGCTGTCGAGTGACCCTGCGATGAACTGGCGCACTGCCTGAGCTAGACGATGTGAGCATTGTCTCGTTTTCGGATGCCCACTCGCTGCCGAAGATGGCGCGAGAGTTGACGATTATAGACGGCGAACTGAGCTACGACGGATTGGTGCATCGCCTCAAGAGCAGAGCATCGAGTACACGGTGGAGTTCTTCCCGGAAGAGGCAAGTACCACAACTCGGGACATCGCAAGTGCGGCGTGAATCTTATCGCCCGATGAGGTGGCGAGGACAGGGGAGCGCTGTCCTGTGTGCGGACGGCGCATGACGCTGGGCGTGTTGCAGCGCACCGAAAGACTGGCGCGGCGGGATGTACGCGTACGCAAAGGCGCCGACGGCATGGTTTATGGCGATAGCGGGAGACCGCCGTTCAGGTCGCTTGTGGGGCTGCAGCAGATTGTGGCGGAGAGCATGGGACGCGGGGTGAATACGAAGGGTGTGCAGACGCGGTACTTTCAACTGGTGGATGAACTGGGGAGCGAACTGCATATACTGACGGACGCGAGCATATCCGACATATCGCGGGTTGGCGGGGAGCACATCGCTGAGGGAGTGGAGCGAGTTCGCACGGGGAACATCGTCATCGAGCCGGGCTATGACGGAGTGTTCGGCAAGGTGAGCGTGTGGCAGGATGAGGCTGAGATAGATATACAGGACAAACGGGATAGACAGGGCATCCTGTTTTCCGCGTGAATCAGGGGAGACAACGATGGCAATATCGATAACGGGCGAGATACGGCAGAGGATAAC